TGTTTTATTCCAAGGAAGGACCGCCGCATTCCTTTCTCTGGTTATCGCGAAATCAAGAACTATCTACATGAAATCATTTAAAGCAGCATTCTTCAGAGCACCAGGTGTAGGCTTAATAGCTATCCTACTTCAATAGGTGGCATAGTCTGGGGTCAGCAGGTGGGGTGTTAAGGCACGGAACCGCCCATGGCCGACCATGGTTCAAGTCCTGGATCCGGTGACTTGAAATACACTAGGCACATGTGCGTGCAAGCCCAAAATCCCAAGAAGAGAATGGAGGAAAAGGAACTGCAGCAGGGCTATCCCTCCTGGGGGGTGATTTCTCACTTTTCTGCTCTCCCTCTGGCAAGCACACATCCCCTATGGCAAAAGCCTAAAATAAAAACAAAAGGGCGGCATAGCCCAAAGAAATGCTTCATTGGAAGAGGTTAAACAGGATCTCCAGGCATTTTTTTTCCACAAGATTTAGAGCCTCTATAAAATGCAATATGCATTACGTCCCTCCAAGAGTGGAAAAGAGAACATAGCCCTGTCCAAGCTAATCTGACGATAGCACACTTGACTCAAGTATCTTCCCTGAGTTACAGAGTGGGTGGAAACCCCTGGGGCTGGGGAGCACCCATTTAAGAGCCAGGCTCCCTAACGATGAGGAATGAGCTGATTAACAGCCAATGATCAGGTCAGATACTCCACATCTGTGCAGTATGCACCGCTGGAATACACTGCACCCCGTGTTTGGAGCACTGGGAAGGGTCTTAGCCCTTCATTTTACAAGTGAGAAATCGGCAACTCAAAAAGATGAATCATTTGCTGGATCAGCAGCTGAGCTGGGGTGACCAGAAACTAGAGCACACTGGCCTTAGACACAAAAGGAGCTGAAGGCCTAGAGAGGGGCAGGCGGCAGGGCACTGCTGTCCAGTACTGGGGCTGCATGGGAAACCCCTAGTTTGCATTCCTTTTTCTTTTTTTTTTTTTTGAGATTTTTGCTACAGGGTGCATGCACTCGCCAGAGAGACAGAGAGACAGAAAGTGAGAAATCACCCCACAGGAGGGGATGGCCAAGCCGCAATCCCTTCTCCTTCATTCTCCTCTTGGGGGCTTGGGCATGCACACACCCGTGCCTGGTGTGCGTTTTAAGTCGCCAGGTCTGGGACTCGAATGGCAGTCAACTACGTGGGAGTCCAGCGATATAGCTGTTACACCAACTGCTGGTCCCTAGATTCCAAGCTGACCTGTACACTGACTGAAAAACTGGGGGTTAGGACTGCAATGTGGTGAGACCCTGCCAAGGATATCTGATGTGCACTCATACTGTGCACGTGTGTGTGTGTGTGTGTGTGTGTGTGTGTGTGTGTGTGTATGTCAAGAGATAAACTTTAAAAAACAAAAGAAGTTAGGGGCTGGCAGGTGGCATGGTGGTTAAAGACACTCAATTCCCACATGGCTGCCATGATTAGAGTCCTGGACCTGGTGGCTTGTTTTCTCCCTTTCCCTTTCTCTCTCTGGCCAAATTAAAAAATAACAACAAATGGAATTATATAAATGAGTAATTCTTTAAAAAAATAAATAAAATTATAAATAAATAGAAATCAGAAGAAGTTAAAGTCAGGAAGAATTACCTGTTAGGGAAGAGGAGAACAAAGAACACTTTAAAAGCTCATGAAGTACTGTACTGTATTTCTAATATATTTATTGAAAAAAATCCACAGTGGACTGGCTAGGTGGCCTAGTGGTTAAGGCAACCAGATCTCACATGGCCAACCATGTGGCTCAAATCTCAGCCGAGGCATGTGTGTGTGCCTCAAATCTCAATAGGATGGGGAGGTGGAGGAGAAGGGATTGCAGTGTGACCATTCCCCATGGGGAGGTTTGTCCTTCTCCCCCTTTCTCTGGTACATACATGTACCCTCTGGCAAAAAAAAAGAGAAGAAATTAGTAGTATGTGGCATATCAAAAACATGTTACAAATTTCTTTTCAGTCTTGAAAACATAAAACATACTTGATATCTTTAACTTGAATGCATATATGGAAATCAGGAGGTATTAGATACATTTTTAAATTGTTTTTAAGAAGGGAGAAATAAAAAAAAAAAAGAAGGGAGAAATAAATCTCTATCCAAAAAAAAAGTATTTCAGGCGAGCCTGATTCTAATTACAAATGTACAGACACTAATGTAATATAATGTAAACATACACATGCGGTTTACTATTTTGGCAGATAATAACTGGGTAACAGAATACTACTTTGGCAGCTAGGGTAGCAGAGCACTGAGTAGGTTAATGTTCATAAGTGCCAAAACTCCAAACTGGAGGGACATTAAAAATGCCAAGCCATTTGACTTTCTCCTTTTGAACACTCCTCAACAGTGAGGAGGTTGAGGAAGTATGAATCTAGATTACAAAATATCTATTATAGCTGTACCAATGCCTATCCCCAAACTGCTGAAGGAGACATGGGAAATAGCTGTGTGATTTTTAACTAGGAACTAAAATCTATTAAAATACCAGCCCTTGTATATACACAATACAACCCTTGCTTATGCATCCTGTACCCAACATGGACATGCAAACTTTAATTCTGCACTATTAAATCTGAAAGCAAACAATGGGGGGGGGGCGCAGATAGCTGATGGTTAAAGCATTGGACTCCTATCTAATGTACTTTGAATCCCAGACCTGGTGACTTGCTCTCTCTCTGTTACTCTCTCTCTCTCTGTTACTCTCTTGGTGAGTGCACATGTCCTACAGTAAACTTTTTAAAAAGATAATAGGGGTCAGCAGGTGGCATGGTGGTTAAGGTGCTGGACTACCACATGGTCAGTCATGGTTAGAGTCCCAGACTTTGTGGCTTCAAATTCACACTGGGCACATGTGCATACATGCCCAAAATCCCAGAAGAAGAATGGGGGGAAGGGACTGTGGTGTGGCCATCCCCCCTGAGGCATGATTTCTCACATTTCCTCTCACTGTCTGTGTGTTGAGCACATACCCTATGGCAAAAACCTTTTTAAAAAAAAAAAAAAAGATAACAATAATAAATAAAATTAAACAATTCTTTTTTTAAAAAAAAATTGGAATGGCATCTCCTGCCATGAAACATCAATAACTCTCCGAGAACAATTTCCATCTGGTTTTCACCAAAGATTGCTTCCAACTCACTGTTTCAAGGATCAGCAAAAGCCTGAAAAGTGTGAGAAAGTCAAAATTGTTCTTGAAGGGTGATGTTCAGAAATGAAGCAGGATCAAGAAAAAGTGCAGTTGCTCAGTGGTGATAAAGCCTTTCTTCACTGCCTATAAAGCAACATGCACTGCAAGATGAGGACAGAGAAGAGTTCAAATAGTACTTCTCAGGGGTCCACTCTACTCTGACCACCTTACCTAAAATTTAAATCCTCTTGGTGCCGGCAGATGGTGTGGTAGTTAAGGGTCCCACAGGGCCAACTGCGGTTTGAGTCCTGGACCTGGTGGCTTGCTTTCTCACTTTCTCTCTCTCTCTCTCTCATTCTCACTCTGCCCCTCTCTGGTCAAACTGAAATAAGTAAATAAATTAGTGAAGTTAAATAATTATTCATTTAAAAAAAATTTTTTTTTTTTTGGAGAGGTTTTTGCTATAGGGCATATGTGCTCAACAGAGAGACAAAGAGAGACAGAGAGACAGAAAGCGAGAAATCACTCCCAGGGGGGATGGCCATGCCGCAATCCCTTCTACTCCTTTCTCTTCTTGGGATCTTGGGCGCACGCATGCACATGTGCCTGGCATGAGTTTAAGCCACCAGGTCCGGGACTTGAACTGTGGTCAACTACATGGGAGTCCAGCGACATAGCCATTACGCTAACTGCTGGTCCCGGATTTTATCTCTTTTTAACAGATACATCTGGTGTCCAGAGCAGCTCCTATAAAATAGTTGCTGCTCAATAGGCATCTACCGAATGAATGAACAAGTAATACAGTAGTCACCCCTCAGCCATGATTTCACCTTCTGCAGTTTCAATTATCTTCAGTCAACTGCAGTCCCAAAGTAGGCAAATACTACAGAGTACAATAAGATATTCTAAAAGAGAGGGATGGCCCCAGAACACATGGATTAAGCATGGTGCAAGGGAAGCCACATCCCACATGGTCATCCCCAACTTGAGCCTCATCCCAGTGGCAATGCTCCAGGCATGTGTGTGAGCATGTTCAGGATCCTGACAGGACAGAGGAGGGGAGGAAAAAGGATCATGACATGACTCTGCCCATTAGGGGGTGCTGTTTCTCCCTCTCTTTTTCTCTCTCTCAGGTGCATGTATATGCCCTCTGGTAATAAAATAAAAATTTTAAAAAGGCATTTTCAAAGAAAGAAAAGGACCATATTCACATAACTTTTATTATAGAATATATTGTTATAATACTCTATTTTATTGTTAGGTATGGCTGTTGATCTCTTACTGTGTCTAATTTATCAATTAAACATTATCATATTTGTGCATGTGTAGGAAAAACCACAGTATATACAGGGCTCTGTACTACCCATGGTGGAAAGCATTTGGGGGTCTTGGCGAGGAAGACTGTCCGGTTCAAATCCCAGCACTGGCAGCACTGGCAGCTTGAAAAACACTCCAGGCGCATGTGCATCCCTGCCCCCAAATCCCAAGAGGACGGAGAGGTATGGCCATGCTCCATTGGGGGGCACTGTCTCTGGCTAGCATGCATACCCTCTGGCAATTAAAAAAAAAAAAAGTCCTCTATCTTGTACTTAAGCCCCAAATTCAAAAATAGAAAGACTACTTGTTCAACCAAAAATGACATCTCACATACACATTATGCTTACTGAGAAATGGTGGACATCAGATTTACCATTCGAGATCTATTCAGACACAGACCCAATTGTGTGATGATTTTCCAAAGCAGAAACATGCTGTAGCAAACCCTGGCCTCTCAGTAAGCCACAGAAATGTATCCTCTGCTTCCATAATTTTCTCCCCTACATTTTCTCATGATGAAGCCATGGAAAACTTACAGCTGTGCAAAAGATGCAGCGGCACTCCTGGAGTGTGGTCATCTTGTCCAGGGACTGTTCACACAGGCAGAGTTTGCAAGTGACGAGGGGGGCCAGAGCCAGGTCTGCGGGGGTCGGGTTTTCAGCAGTCATGGTGAGGCGGTGGAGCCCACCAACCGAGCCCATCTGCCTGCCTTCAGCCTTCTTCAGTCTCCACAGTTCCTACAGAAAGGCCCGAAGCAGACAATATTATACACCCAGGGCCAGCAGAGGAATCCCTTGTTCTCAGTGACCTTCCAACATTGAGCTAATGCATCTCCGAGAACTAGACCGAGAGCTTGCTGCCTTGACAAGGTGTCCCAGGAGCCCTGAAATGTAAGCTGACCTCACTGTCCTGATTCATTCACGTAAGCTATGTGAGTTGACAGGCTACTGGGGGAGGGATGGGTGTTGGTTCAGTTGGACAGGATGAATAAATCCTGGAGTTCTATTGTACCACATGGTCACCAGAATTAATAATAATGTATTATATGTTTGACGACAGCTGAGAGTAGATTTTAGATGTGCTCACCACACACACACACACTCACACACAAGTATGTAAGGTTATAAGTTTATTACCTTGATTTCATCTCTTGATACAGGCCTATATCAAAATACCACATCGTACACCTTGCATACAATTTTTATTTGTCAATTATACCTTAATGGAGCTGGGGCAAAATACCACTATGAACAAACGCCATTCACTGAGAAGCTATACTTTTACATTAGATTCAAAAAGTACTTAATTATTCAAAAGTTAAATAAAATCTTGCTATATGGGGTCAGCCAGTGGTGTGGTGGTTAAGGAAGCTGGATCCCTAAGGCCAACTGTATGGTTGAGACCCGATGGCTTGAAAAACATGACTGGCATGTGTGCATGTGTACCCAGAATCCTGAGAGGAGAATGGACAAGAAGGGATTGTGGGGTGGCCATCCTCCCGGGGATGATTTCTCATTCCCACTGCTCCCTTCTCCCATCTTTCTCTCCAGCAAGCACAGACCCTGCAGCAAATTAAAACAAACAAACAAAAAAACCCAGAAGTACACACACACACACACACACACACACACACACACACAGAATCGACATGTGATCTAGCAAGTTCACTTCTGGGTATAGCCCCAAGAGGAACTCAAAGCAGAATTTCAAAGAAATATCTGGGGGCCAGCAGGTGGTGTGGTGGTTAAGGTGCTAGATTCCCACATCACAGACAATGGTTCAAGTCCCAGACCCGGGCTTGCTTTCTAACTTGCCCTCTCTCTCTATCTCTCTTTTTCTCTCTCTGGTCAAATTAAAGAATAGTGATCATAAAAAATAATTTTAAAAAAATTAACAGAGATACTTGTGTATCCAGGTCCATAGCAATATTCTTCACAATAGCCCAAAGGTGGAAGCAAATCAAGGATTGTAGCATGACAATACGCCATGGTGGTGGTGGGGGGGGTGGGTGCTTGCTTTCTCTGTCTCTGTCTCTCTCACGTGACAGTACATGCCCTCTGGCAATTAAAAAAATTAAATAGAGCGTCAGTGTTGGTTGTGTTCATGTACACTATTTCATTTACACTTTTGCCATATATTAATCGAGGTTCTGGGAAGTTGAGTAATCTGTTAAAAATCTTCAAGTTCATGCACGGTCGAACAGAACTCAAACTTCCATCTTTGTGGGCCAAGGCCAGTGCCTGATCCTTCACGCTGGAGCTGCCACAGGAGTGGCTGTTATCTGCAGGGGTGAGGCAGAGGGACAGAGGAAGGCAAAGGAAACAGGGAGGAAGGGCGGAGGGTATGAAGTCTGTGGTGACAGCTACACTTCAGATAGAAAATTTGGGCCAGGGGAACCTGGCGTGGTGGTTAAGGCACTGAACATTACCACATGGTCAACCATGGTTCAAGTCCTGGAACTGGTGGCTTGTTTTCTCACTTTCTCTCTCCCTCTCTGTGACTCTCTCTGGTTAAATTAAAATGAACAAATGAATAAATAAACTTAAATAAATAATTCTTTAAAAAAACAACTTGGGCCAGTCAATGGTGTGGTGGTTAAGAAGAGTTGGATCCCACAGTGCTGACTGCATGATTTGAATCCTGGACCTACAGGGCTGAAAAAAACACTGGGTGTGTGTGAATGCCCAAAATCCCAAAAGGGAGAAATAGAGGGAAAGGGATTGTAACATGACTATTCCCGACGGGAGGTGCTTTTTCTCTCTCTGTCTCTCTTTGGAGAACACATGCGCCATCTGGCATATTTTATATATATACATAAAATTATATATATATATATATATACACACACACATATGTGTGATGTGTATGTGTGTGTGTGTGTATAAATTTGTTTCCACACACAGCATGACTGTAGGAAAAGATAACTTCATACTGAAAAAAAAGTTTATAACAAACATCTTCCCGAGAAGAAGCTGGGCCTTTAGAAGAAGGTTCCACATGGATCCAGCAAACTAGATTTTTCAGGGAATGAAGATTTTCTACTGATAATTCAGCCTCCAGCAAACAAGCTAGCGACGAATCTAAGAGCACTGTAGTTCAACATCCATATACTAATAGGGTTAAAATATTCCCCAATATCTACTGAATCTGCTGCACCAGCAATCACAACAGAACGGCAAAGAGATTCTAGATCACCTCCGTCTGCTTGCTCCTGAACATTCAGGCTGAACTTCAAGAATTTGAAAGAAACACACCATCCATCAGATGACAAGAAATCACCGCTGGATCACAAGAAATATGGGAAAACGAGAAAATACCTCTCCTCCAAGGGAAAAGAGTAACTCTTCTTCATCCACAAGCAGTTTGGTGAAAGCAGTTTGGTGAAAATCACGGAAATGTCTGATAAGGAATTTAGACCATTCATAATATCAAAGCTAACAGAGATGGAAGAGAAGAGAGACAATGAACTGCTAAAGAGAAAGGAGAAAGAAGTTGACGAGTTCCAGAAGATGAGGAAATTCTTGCAAGATCTAAAAGAGGAATTACACACTTTACAAAAGACTCAAACGGAACTGCTAGAGATGAAGTCTATAATACAAGAAGTAAAAATCTCCCTTGAAAGTATTAAAAGCAGACTAGATCATTCAGAAAATAGAATCTCAGATGTAGAGGAGAAAATGGCTGGCCTAGAAAAATCCACCATGAAGACTGAGAAAATGGCACAAAAATTTGAGAATAATATGCAAGAAGTACTGGATGCCATCAAATGTCCAAATATCCGGATAATTGGCAATCCAGAAGGTGAGGAGACCCATAAGGACATTGATTCCATGAAATCCTGCAAGAAAACTTTCCAAACCTAGAGAGGCATTCGAAGATCCAGTCCCAGAAATACAAAGCACGCCAAATAGAATCAACCCAAGAAGATCTTCTCCAAGACACATTATAGCCAGGTTGACCAGAACCATATATAAAGACAAGATACTAAGATCGGCAAGAGAAAAACATCAAGTTACCTACAAAGGACATCCCATCAGGCTAACAGCAGATCTCTCATCAGAAACAATGCGAGCGAGGAGAGAATGGGAAAATATATTCAAAGTGTTAAGAGAGAAGCAATTTCAGCCAAGAATACTGTACCCAGCAAGATTATCTTTCAGGTGGGAAGAAAAGACAAGAACATTCTCAGATAAACAAAACCTGAAAGAATTTACCAGCACCAGACCAGATCTCCAAGAAGTTCTCAAGGGTGTGCTATGTCAGGAAAATTAAATACAGACACA